TTTTTTGTTCCATAGAGGCTATTCCAAATTTATGTCAGTTCAAAGTTACTCAAAGAACAGTATTTTTCAAGACATAACGGAATAATAAGTTATGTTAATTAAATAGTATTATGCTGGTATATAACATCAATTACTCCATCCCATCCATTCTAAAATATAGTTATTTCGAGCGTTTAAAAAAAATACTCTAAATTAAGTAATACTTCCTCTACCTAATCACTAGTCATTTAATTTTTCTTAGTCTTACTATAACCATCTCCCACTCTGCAACCATCCCAGAGGCACTCGATGGTTCATATCCTCTATCATAATGACACGACACTGACTTGTGAGGCAATAAAGTTGCGTTTGGTTAAAGGGTTGGGATGGGTCGGGTTGGGTTGAACCCATTTTTTTAAGTGTATTTGGTTTGGGGACATGTGGGATAGGATGGTCAGGAATATTCCCCTAAGATCCGGGTTGACATGGTCACTCAAAAACTGACATGGTCCCTCAAAAACTGACAGACCATTCCAACCCATTTTTTTCTCACGCTGACATGTGGCCCATTCCTTCAAAAGTAGGATTATTATATCCCTTATGCCAAACAAATAGATGTGATCATCCCATCCTAAAAACAGGGATGAGTCCAACTCAATCACATCTTGTCTCCAAACCAAACACATGCTAAGAGAGTGGGACTCACATACTAATGATTATAATAATAGTGATATTATGGTAGATGATGTTCACTCGACACTCGCGTATATACCTAAGGTCAGGAGGACAACTTATATCCCTTGTCCCGTGAGTTGATCATGTGTCGTAAACAGAAGGATAACCAGATCAAGTGGTAAAATATGACCATTTGATAATAGGTAGTGACAGGAGCAGAGGGGATTAAAGAACTAAACATATACTATGTTACTGTTAGGGCATTTCGTCATGGGGCAATGCCGGATGTGGGCACCTTTACTCTTTATTATATTTTTGCCCCAGTTTTCGAAAGAATCCTCAAATCACAGAAAATTACAAATAAAGGCTATCTTTTGTGAAATCTGTTTAATTTCTTCTCTTTCATTTAAAAGCGTCACAAACTGGAAAGGGAAAGAGTATGATTAGAATATGGTCTCACTGCACAAAGTGATAAGATCAGGATTCCTCTTCATCTGTCTCCATCCTCTATGAAAAAGAGTAGATCAAGATTATCTTCACGCAAACGATTGAATAAACCAGAGCCATGCAAAAAGAAAATACTAATATATTTTTAAAGATAATCCAATTGACGAGAGGACTCGTGCTACTCGTAAAATATTTGTGAATATAAATATCAATTTTAGTAGCTAGAGTGTATTTAGGTTCAAATGGGGACCGCTACTGATGATTTTCCTTTGTCTTGAACTATCGTCAACTCCAACCCTTCGCAAATTAATGTCACAGGTATATATTGATTATATATCTTGGTGACAGTGACAAACATTAAAACATTGGGGCAAATGTATTCTTGCCCCTACTTTCATTTGCAATTATGATTTTACCCTTACTTTTTAAACTTTATGATTTTGCCCTCACTTTTTGACGTTGAATGGTCTGTTTGCCCCTGGTTTAAACGTCTGTTAGGTGGACTCAGATTAAATGAGTTTAAGAAAATAAGAAATTGACTTGCAAAATGTAAAAAGACATCTCTATCCCAAACCTTTCAACCTAAGCCACTGCTGACTCCTCCGTCCCCGATTCCTAACCCTCGCGAGCGGTGGCGGCACACGCGGGCAAGCGAGAGCGAGGAGCGCGCGGTCGTCGCGGAGGAGCTCGGGGTGAAGCAGGCTGGGCCGGCGCCAAATGGCGATGTCAAGCTGAGCTAGCCCGTCGCCGTCCGCCGTGGTGGTCACTGGGCTCGTCGGCATCGGCCTCGGCTATAGTACCCGAACCGCTGCACAGCAGATGATCGAGTACATACGTACTGCTGCATATGCGTAGCTAGCTAGGCTGTCTTGCCACCATTAGCATGGCCGCGAGGAGCTCGCCTGAGGCATGATGGTGACAAGGAGGAGAAGAACAGCAAGGAGAGGAGGAGAGGAACATTTGAGTTTTATTGTCTTTTACTTTTTCTTCTTTGTCACTCCCCCTTTAGTTTTTATTTTTCTTACTGCCTTGAACTATTGGTTGGTTCCTAAACTGGACAGGACCAACAAAGCTATTCTGTTGTTGAAAGCTATTCTGTTGTTGAAAGAAAGAGATGAGAGTAGTGTTTCTTGTTTGCATATTCATAAATCCCTTGACTGTTAAAATGATTAAACATGCAGGGCAAGTTCATACGTCAGGCATTGAGGCATTGAATTCATACCTCAGTCCATAGTGTTTCTTAATTAATAAATCCCTTGATTTTTTTTAAACATATGCTGGAGAATCGCATTTCTTGTGTAGTTACAAGTTGGATTTCGTTGTTAAAATAATTAAGCATGCAGGGCAAGTTCATACCTCCGTTTTCTACTGTAATCGTGAAACACGGCCAAAACACAAAGTCCTCACAAGCCAAATCTGCAAGGGCATAGATGTCCTTTTACCTGTCAGTTAACACCATTAAGGCTCTGTTCGTTTCCTGGAGTTCCCAACTCCCCCATCTCATTTTCCGCGCGCACGCTTTTCAAACTGCTAAACGGTGTGTTTTTTGCAAAAAGTTTATATACGAAAGTTGCTTAAAAAAATTATATTGATCCATTTTTGAAAAAAAAAATTAGCAAATAATTAATTAATCACGTGCTAATGGACTGCTTCGTTTTCCGTACCGGAGGGATGGGTTCCCAACTCAACCAAAAGAACAGAGCCTAAGTCCTCCTGACGGAACAGGGGCATACCTGAGCTTCAGTTCAAAATAGTGAGGGTAAAATCACAAAGTTAAAAATACAAGGGTAAAATCACAATTGCAGTTGTAAATAGGGACAAGAACACAATTATCCCTAAAACACAAGTACTTCTAAAATATTCTCTTACAGGACGAGAGATTTGGTGCCGAAATAATAAATAGATAAGAAATATTTCTCTCTTTTTTTTTGGCAAGAATCGAGCTGTCTCGTGTAAAACCTGTAAAATTCATGTGCTTTGGGATGCAAAGGTGTCCAAAGGGGAAGTGTGGGCTATACAGATGCTCGGGCCTATATGTGAACAGTATGTACTATAGAGGATCTCGATTGGTCCAAACAAATTTTACCACCACAACATATTTTTAGTACTCTCTCCGATCATAAACATTCAACGTTTAAAACAAGATGTTGTCAAACTTTTACAATTCAATGGATTGAACAGTAAAAGTTTAACATCCTAAATTACTCTCCCATTTAGAAATGCTTATATTTTGGCATGGAGCTAGTTGATGTTTGTTACGGGAGGGAATACTCCCTCCATCCCAAAATATAATAACTTTTAGCCTTTTGAATTTATCCCAAAATATAACAATTTTTCTACCAATATTCGCTTCTCAACCAATCACAATCTTCCACAATTTAATTCTATGTGCTTTCCTAATAACTGTGTCTAACTCTAAAACTCCTTAGAACAGGCACAATAGTAGGCTATAAGCCAGCTATAAACATATATCGATATGATAAAAGAGGAGAGATAATAGCAACGGACTACAGATTTGTAGCCAGCTGCAGCACGGACTCCAAGACACAATGTGTATATGACATGTGGGACCATATATTAATTGTGCAGTATATATTTATAGGTATATGAATTGTCTATTAAATTGACTATAAATGATTTGGAGCTATTAATTGGCTATATTGTTAAACTTGTTCTTATATTCTGGGACAGATGAAGTATTAACTAAGCAAGTTCATGGACTTATTAGTGGGATCCCTTTTACTTCTGTGACATGATGCACACAACCGCTGTGTGCTTACGGTTAGTTCTCTCTGTTAATAAAAGTATATTTCAGTGTCCTGAACCTAATTGCATATCCCAAGAATGTTTCACAAAGCCATGCATGCCATTGGCTTAGATAGAGATATGCAAGCCTTTTGAGGGAAGAATGCACAGGTAGTACAGGAGATGACCCTCTGCAAAACCATTCACTGGCAGAAGTGCAGAACAAAAGAGTGGTCAAAAAAGCTGGCCAGCTTCCTTCTTTTGGTTCATCAGATTCTGGTCAAGTGCTGCATGATTGGCAACTTAAGAGTGCGTGGAAGTTTGTTAAAGATTTCGTTCCGGCTGGTTTTGGTGTATCTCTGTTATTTGTAAAACTTAAATTCACACAATTTTGGATATTCTGAAACTATATTATGGTGTCTGTTTATCTGCATTTGGTCCAGTTTTTCTTTATTGAAAAAGAACACATTCATAACTTCACATGAATCGAATGCCTGTACTGCAAGAGGAATAAACACACATTTACGAGATGGGGTCAAATGCGCTCATCAGGGGAATCTCATGCACAACCCAGCATCCACTTTATAGCAAAAAAACATGCTCTCACCAAAAAGGACCTGATCCCATTGGCAAGAAAAAAAAAGTACTTTCCACTACTACAATTTTTTCAGGAGCAGAGAAAACAAGTGCAATCATCCAATGCTGAATGCCCACACACACTGCAACAGATTTCTGCAAAAAGTGATGCTGTTAAAAGGAAGGCTTCATTCATTCATTTTTATTTCTTTTTTACAGGAATAGGCTTCATTCATTCATGTAGAGAGAGGAGAAAGAGAGGAGGAAAAAAAAGGAAAATGGCAACAGATTCTACTACTGGTTTCTGGTATGACCAAATAGCAGCAGTACGAATTCAAAGAATATAATAGTATTTTGTTTGAAAAGGGAGAGATTTGTTGGGCCCCATCATGGCATCATCCATCCATGACATTTGGTCATCTATCTATCTATCCCTAACAGCAGCAAGATAGTTTTCAGTTCATCTAGCATTTTCAGTGGAAGATCCACTACTAGTAGTAAAGAGTTAAAAGAAAAGTAGGAGTTTACCAAAAAGGTTTTCAACTCAAGTGGAGCCTTTTTTAGTGCAGCCAACCAACTGAACAGAAGCTGATACACTGTTACTGAACTTCAGATTGGAAAGAAAAAAAAATGATGTTTTTGGGAATTCAGAGAAGTGCTCACTCTCTTGTATTGGCATTGTTGCATCAAAATCCATATAATAGCTCATCATATCAGCTACAACAAGATGAAACAACAGCTACAAGAAAGAACCGAAGATGATTGTACTACCTCCGTTTTAGGTTATAAGACTTTCTAGCATTACCCACATTCATACAGATGTTAATGAATCTAGGCACACATATATGTCTAGATTCATTAACATATATATGAATGTAGGCAAATGTTAGAAAGTCTTATAATATGAAACATCGGGAGTAGTTGTGAGGGGGCGTTAATTGCTCATATGTAGATTTATAGATTATAGCTAGATATACAAGCAAGCAAGAGCTCGATCTTTAAGCTAAGCTAGCCGAAATTGGAATTGGAATTGGAGAATTGGAGGTGGTTAATTGAGAAAATGAGAATGGTTCTTGTTCAGTCGAGGTGGGTGGACCTGACACGCTTGTGGCCGGCGTGGCGGACGGCGGTGCCGACGGAGGCGCCCTCGGAGGCGGCGGGGCCGGGGGAGGAGGCGGCGAAGAGGGAGGAGAGGTCGGCGTAGAGGTCGACGACGCGGCGGATGTTGTTGTTGAGCTCGCGGATGAGGCCGACGTTGCGGGAGAGGTCGCCGGGGACCTTGGACTCGTGGTTCTGGTTGATCTCGTTGATCAGCACCCGGTTCTGGTCCAGCAAGCTCTGCACCTGCACGAAGCTCGTCTGGAACGCGTGCAGCACCTTCCCGTCCTCCGCCGCCGCCGCCGACAGCGTGTCGCCGTCCATCGCCTCTTTGCTTCTGCTTCTGCTTGTTCTTGCTCTCTGCTTGTTCTTCTTTTGCCTCTCTGCAATTCTGCACCCCAAATGGAAGGAAATGGTGAAGAGTGAGACGACAAGAACAGAAGCTCGATGGGCGATGAATTGACGAGTTCTTGAGACAAAAGAAAATACTAGTACATTCTTTATCTATTCGATTCACCGCTGAAAATGGTGAGACGACAGAACAGATGCCTGATGAGTTCTTGACGCAAAAGAAATAATTAATTGTTTTTTCTTTATCTGTTCGGTACAGCACTGAAGATTTTGCAGTTCTTTCCATGAATGAAAAGCAAGATTTTTCAGTTTTTATCGCGAAATCTTTGCAAATTGGAGCAGCTGTAGCGAGGAAATGTAAGATTCACTGTTTGGGGGGCATATGGGACGACAAAAGCACTGTTCAACAAGATCAGATGTACTTGACGAATCTTTATTTGCTTGGACCCAATAAAAACATGATTAAAACCTTGGAACTTTTTTCCCCATATGTAATCTCGAAATTAACGCAATGGTTGGGGATAATATATATATATATATATATATATATATATATATATATATATATATATATATATATATATATATATATATATATATATATACACAAGAAATCATGTAAGTCTAAATTCCAAGAAACACAAAGCGCGTCAAATTTGGAGGGGAAAGAATCAAAGAACTCAAGAAGAAAGAAACAGTGGTCGTGCGGGAAGGGATGATGAGTTCGGGGAATAGCTGAGATCCATTGAATTCTTCGCGAGCAACCGGAGACGAAAGATTCCCAGCAAAAAATAGAACGAAATCAAGAACAAGAACCCAAAAAAACAAAATCCGTTACTCCGATGCGAATGAGATTGGTTTTCGACCAAAATTCGCTCGAATCAGTAGAACAAAAGGGGAGGGGAGGCGACCGAACCGAGAAAGAAATTCAGGCGAGAATCGCACCGGGGGGGGGGGGGACACAAGAAATCCATGTGAAAACTGTCTCAACAGGTCAACCTTAGGCACGGCCAGAGCACAAGATACAAGAACTTGGAGGCGAATTTTGGCCCGCCAAGATCCTAATAATCCGCACAAGAAACGAAAAGAACAACTCGTCGCTCGCAAGAACACAGCAGCAGCAAGAACATATTTCACTACTTCTCCCAACATAATTCCCGGACTAGAGAGAGAAAGCGAGGAAGGGCGAGCTTGACTCACCTCAAGGACGCCGTAGCATCTGCGCTCCTGATGAGATCATGCGACCACGAGAGAGAAGAGAAGTGGAATGAAGAAGAAGATGAGATTCCACAGGGGAATAGGAGGAAAAGGAGGATGGATGGGGATGGAGAGAGAGAGAGGGAGGGAGGAGATCAGGAGATCCTCAGACACACGAAACTACTCAGGCTAGCAGCACTAGCAGTGACCCATCATCTTCTCCTCCTCATATATACGGAGGGGAATAGTATACTTTTCTTTCTGTATTTCTCTCTGTAGCTTTAAAAGCTCTCCTTATTTTTCTTTTCTTTTCTTATAGATTTAGATTTATAGATGGAGGGTATTAGTAGTAGGAGTAGAATCTTTTGCTAGAGAGAGAGAGATTGAGATTTGTGGCATGTTCGGACACGTTTCTCCTCCTCGATCTCCTTCTGTATCTCCATTCTCTCTCCTCGCATCGTCTCACTGTCTGTGTGCTTGCTTGCTGCTGCAGCTGGGTTATCCTTTCCTGCCCGGCACGGTGCATTTCCGTCTACCGGTGGTAAAGTAATTACTCATGTACAGTGGTCATGTTTCTGAAAAAAAAAATTCTTTTTATTGGTGTACTCCCTCTATCCAATAAAAAACCAACGATTTAGTTCTTTTCGCGCAGGGAGTATATTTGTTCATGCGGTACAAACCAACATCATCTTTACTCGATTTCGGCTAGTCGGCAAAACATAGTGGGACACACTTATCAAATATAAACCTTGTTAAAATGTTCTTATCATTGTTCGTAAAGAAGTTAGTAGATTGCCTTCTTAACAAATGCAAGGGTGTGGTTAACATTATCAAATCGCCATCACACTGAAGTAAGGGTTGTTAAAATTCAACAATACTAAAAATGGTAGAATAATAATGCAAACATACTATAACCTTACTAACTTCTATCGGTAATTTCAGAAAATTTTACTTATAACATTTTTAAATTTTATAAGTACCAAATCAAATAACACCTCGACCATCTTAACATTATCAAATCGCCATCACACTAAAGTTTAGCATCACCAACTTTTGATCAGATTGATTTTTGCAACAAAACAAACAAACCATAAAAGCAATTTAAACCTTTCTATAATGGAACAGGTTATAGTGATAACAATAAAGACAAATGAAGATAACAAATGGTAGCCATTATTCGGGATGAAAGCTGACTAGGGGCCTATTTGGGTTAGCTAAGACTTTGAGAAGCAGCTGATTGGTATGCAGCTTCTGGTTTCTAGTGCATTTTCTAAATTCTACAACTATAGCTTCTTAGGAGAGCTTCTGATTCTGGAAGAAGCTGCAGCAGCTAGAAACTCCCTAAACAAGCCCTAGGATTCTAAAGGGAATGGGTTTAGAGACTTATACATGGCAGTGTACCATAGGGGCAAGTTATCGGTGCACGTTGTACAATGGGATATTTAGGCTTATGCATGGCAGTGTACCATAGGGGCAAGTTATCTTGTGATACCGAGCGAAAGAAGAACACATGGTTTGTAACTCATAATAGATTTAATTGTTACATCACATTCCGTGCAACAAAATAAAAGCCAGCTGGGCAAGGTATATAATGTGATATTGTTGAGGCGTGGTTTTTTTTGGAGGAAAAGAGAGCTTCATTACTTGAACGAAACAGAGGCGTGGTTTTTGAGATTCAACAACTCTTCAAATGGTAAATGAAAGACAATGCTAATTTCGCCCCCGTTGATTGGATCAGACAACAATATCAGCGTTCATTCTGAAGGTATATCCTTGAAATTTGGATAACCTTACCAGAGATCTGGTTACAAATCCTTAATTTCACCTCTCTCCTTTTTTGGTTGAAACTGATAATAAATGATGAGCAAGTCATGTAAATCTTACTCATACAGTGAGTTGTACCTCTTTCTACAAGTGTACCTACAACAACCAAGCTACAATTAATATCTCTTCAATGTTCAATTACTATGCTGGTGTGGACGCATAGTTTGGTTCCATTGTGGTGTTCTACTTGTCTCACATTGTCTAGCTTTGGACAGTTTTAGAAGTGTATTTGCATCTCACATAGACACTCATTAATTCAGTCCAAAGATTGGAACTTTGGAAGTTATAATACTCCCTCCGTCCAAAATATAAGAACCAAAGATGGGATGAGACATTTTCTAGTGCTACAAATCTAGACATGCTATCTAATATTCAATCAAGTCCTAGATTCTTATATTTTTGGACGGAGGGAATAGCTTTGTTTGAAAAGGCAATTTAAGCCGGATTGGTAAATTAGGCAGCCTGTACCTACCTTCACGTGGTGTACTTGGACATGCGTTTCTTGATATTCTTTCCTGCGTACATTAGAGACAATCAAACCAACAAATCTTCCCGATCCAGCCATCGTATTTTGCCTGAAATTCAGTTCTGATGAGAATATTCTACCAGAGAACATAGTCACTAGTCACTAGAGTAATAAGTTTATTAGAGCAGAAGCAATGCAAGCTACACATTTGAGGACCCTAAAAAATACCACATACACTAAAGACACGGTCCAAATTTTGGTTCCCCATACCGCAAATGGCCTCGTGAGAAACTTCAATTTTTCATTTCAGCCCTCATATTTTTCTCAAATTACAAAGAAATCCAAATTTTATAGCAAACACCTTAAAATGGAGAAAATAATATAAATCTCAACCCCACCCACCACCACTAGGTCCACAACCATCTCCACTTCCCCCACCCACCCACCTAGACGAGTTCACCGGTGATACCGCAGCCTCCGGCCTCTCCCCACTCTCCCCACCTCGGCAATGAACTCTGGCACCGCCGCCAGCCTCTTCCTTCTCCCCATCGCGGCACCTCTCCACTCCTGGACGCCGCTCGAGCCCAACCCACACGGAGATGCGGCGGTGGTCGAGGAGGCCGAGGCGGCGGCAGAGCCACTAAGCAAATCGACGACAAGGAGGTTGGCACAAGCAGGGGGACGACGGGCTCATCGGCTCATAAGCGGAGCACGACGTTGAGCTCGGCAGCACGCAAGCGGGGGACGATGATGAGCTCCGTGGCACGTGACCGGTGCCCCTCCACTCCTACTCTCCTTAGAGGGCGAGGACCTCAACGACGGTGGCACAGATTTGGAGTGGCGTGGGAGCTCGACCGCCATTGTCGTCGCCTCTCCCCTCTCATGAGAGTTGAGGACGAGCCATGGCACGGCGACAGACCCCGGCTCTCCTCTCCCCTCTCTGGACATCAGCTCCAGCATCGCAAATCGGGCGGCGGCGCGATATCTCAACATCGGGCTCCTCCACTTCACCTTCTCCAGTGGGTGACGGTCCTCTCCTCCCTTCTCTAGTTGAGGTGGCGAGGTCGCAGGGTGGCAGGGCAGCGGCGCACAAGTCGGTTGCAGCATCGGTTCTTTCTCCTGCTCCACTTTTGCCTAGCACCATTCCTTTTTCCAACTGAGGAGCTCGGTTCTTTGTTTGGAGCCGAGAAACATCACAAAGCCATGGCCCTCCACCTTCTCTATCTTCTACCACAACACCTATCCTATGTGGCACAACGAATCCACGCGACACGGTGGCGCGTGGAGGCCCTTCTGCTACCTCCAATTTTATTCATTTTATCTGCTCATTAAAAAAAATCATGTACACAATAATATAGTATCTCTGATATACAAATCCTAAAACTATAGAATATTTTTTATTAGTTTGCTTTCATACAACCCCACTTCTTTTTGTGCATTTCTTAGAGCTTATGTAGAGTGACTCGTTCTTTTTCTCCCCATTTATCTTCTACATCTTATCATTCAATCCTATAAGTAAACTAGGTGATTCTCAGCGCTTTGCTACGAAAATTACTAAGTAACTTTTAATATTTTTTAATAATCGAGCTAAAAGTAAAAATTATGTTAAGAGAAAAAAATAAATTTAGTAGACTCTGTATGAGATTGTAGATGAAATATGATATCCCACACTTTGATTATATGGATAAATATATGTTAAGTATTATAAAAATGATGGATATATATATATATATATATATATATATATATATATATATATATATATATATATATGTTAAAAATATTGTGAAAAATAATATGAAGGTAGATGATTGGATGTTGATTTGTAGAATTTAATGAATTATAGATGATGTTGCATGATTACATAAGTTTTGTATATAATTATTGCTAGTGTATGATGAGGTGACATGTTTGTATGTAGAGATTTAGAATTAGTGGGTTATAACTTTATAGTAAGATAGGATGGCTCGGCTAACGTTTTATTACATTAAACATTAAATTTAGACACAAGTTCATTACAGTACTGTACCAGAAGTTTGTTATCTAATCACCGACATTAGAAATTTGTAATAATTGACCGATACGAGTGCTAAATGCGTATTGATGGTTGGACCTGTTCATTTGAGATGTGCTTTATATAGGAGTATACTAGGTGAAACCCCGCGCATTGCTGCGAAAATTTAATATGATAACAATAAAATAAATAACGTGTAAGATAGCTAGATAACATCAGATTAAGTAAATTAATGTGGTTTATAATAATTCAAATTTAAATAGTATGTAGGATGGTGACTCAAACGTAAAAAGTAAGGTGGTATGACTTTATGGAAGAAAATAAGTAGGGAAATAGTTTGGACCGTAGATTAATCATCTAAAGGCTAAAAACAATTGTTGTGATATGACTTGATTAGAGAAAAAAAGGAGAAAGATAATTTAGACCATAGATTAATCATTTAAGCACTAAGTGATGATGAACTATATAAGTATATAGCGTATTATAAAACATAATAATAAAGATATACATTGAAACATTATGTGAATTATGTTGGATGATAATTTAATATGTTTGTATTTGAAAAGCTCTTAAATTATAAAAACTATAAATATATAGCATGTTTGCATGATGTTTAAATGTGATGATTGCTAATGGATGATAATGTGGCATCTTGTTAATTAGTGGATGATGATGTGGCATCTTTGCATGTTAAGTTTAAGGAGTTAGCGGGGGATAACTTTATAGTATAGGATATGAGTATAAGTCATAACTAATTTTAAATTAACTTAAAGGTACAAGTATACAACTATTGCCTTAAAAATGATATCTCTGTTTTTTTTTTGGTTCTGGATATGCGTCTTTGGAAGCTGTATAAGCTTATGCGTAGGACCAACAATGATATCTCTCGTGATTCATGCTTTAACTTTCGGCTAAATGCATGGTTGGATCTTGTCATTTTCATTTGGTCCTCTACTTGACCCACTGGGACACAGAGCTTCCAATAAACGCCGAAACACTTTGCTGAACATCCTTGGTTGTATGGTCAAAATCTCATGGAGATGTCCCTTGTGCCAGGTAGGCCATCACAAAATCAGCTGATGATCACTCATCAC